TAAAATTTCCATTGCTGCAGGGAAATTGTTAGTGTTATAATGGTGATGACATTTTGTAGTGGTTTGTTATCGATGAATTCATACTTGATGGAATAGTTCACGTGAAATCAAGATCGATTAGTTTTTATGTCATTTGGATCAAAGATCCGATCGAAACAGATCAAATGGAATTTGATTCAGAGGCTGATCCCAAAAATTACAACGTTTCCATTGGTCGGCGAAAGTAAAGCTGACGTTGAGCCTCAATTAATCCAGTGAGGAACCTAAATCCGTTCCTCACAAGATTAATGGTTCAATCGCATGGTTATTTCGCGTAGAGTTCAGTAAGTGAAATGTCTGTAATTACGATGCTTCGAAATAAAGGGGCAGAAGTGGAAAGAAGCGATCAGTTATGATTTATTGGATGATCATTGTCAGAAAATGATTCAACATTCATTCCAGACAAAATCCCATCACACAATAATCCAATCGACCACTTTACGTGCCATCACTTCATTATCGCTGATCACGAATGCATGCTTACAATCCGAATCGTCTATGGAAACTAATTCTGAAATTTGAATGAATTATTTCGGAAGGGGATTATTCTCTTTTGAATCTAAATCTGTTACATCAAAAAAGATTAAATCACAACAAATCAATTGAAATCATCATATATAAATGCAAAACTGCATCGATCGTTTATGGAATGAAATATAATCAGCCAAAAATCAACCCATATCAGCGAAACCGAACATATCAAAAAATACCATCTCCTAATCTTTTCCTCATTTCGTAACCAAATTCAAGTGGACACCATGCATCGCTTGTTCCATAATAGAAACGTATACGATCCGAATATTTCAATAGTGTCGCATCAAGTTCCAATTGTTTTACCTCAAAACAAATATATCTCTAAACTGTAACTAATCATCTTCACTTAAGTTTCATATCTCTAAAAGAGTTGCAAAATTCGACATCGAACTTGTCTTTTGACCTTTTCGTCGGTTTGTTTATCCCCCCCCCCCCTTCCCAGTTGATACTGGAAACAAAAGCAAGGCAGTACTCTGAGATAAGCAATAGAATATTGAAATAATAACTAACTTTGTGTAATTCGTCAGTACACATGTGGACTACATTTCGAAAGACATTTGATCGTAACAACTCAGCAGCACTCCAAAAAATACACTCAGGCACATTTTTAGACGGTAATACCCATGAACATAGCCATTTTCTGATGGTGAACGGCAAATAATCCAACCAAAACACTAACGGTTTGGTGAGCAACGTATCGTAGCAGTTCAATTTCTGCATAAAACAATTTGTTTTCAAGCAATTCTCAATATATATTCATAAGAAATTTCGAAATGGTGAGACTTCTCTCTTAAGGAGTAAAATTCTCACGTTTGAAATGTATCCCAAAATTCCATGCCTCTAAATCATTTGTATTGCTTGCAAAAGGCAAACGTTTTTCCTATGCTCAATTTGATCATTCAGATCAAATCGATCTGAATCANTTATCATCATTGCAATCGGATACAATGGGGAATGTATCATTTTCGATTACTAGTTAACGTGCCTGTCTTAGCTGAAGTATAGAAGTTTACTTCGAAATGTATACCGAATTGTATAAACAAATGAAAACTAGATGAAAAAGCGAAGTTGAAAAGTAACCGAAACAATCGGAAATAGTCGTTCACCGTTGGGCGATTGAGCCATACGTTCAATCGTTGGAAATAACGCCCCAGCGCATACAACATTATACTCGCAACGTAACAAATCCGGTAATATTCTCAAAGTTACATGCAAAGGATTATTTCAGTTAGTTAATTCTGATCGAAAAACATTTTCATCTGTTGCTCATCAATCAGCAACGCGAAGTTTGGATTGACATATGAAAAGTTGATTCGTTTTGAAGGTATTTACATTTAAATGTGGAGGTACTTATTTCGAGCACTTGATTTCGCTCATTTGAATACTCTTTGTAATAATAATAAAGACGGTAATGCCCATGAACATAGCCATTTTGCCCATGAACACAGCCTTTGTAGTAATGAAGTTTTCACAACCCCAACTTAAAGTTTTTGGCTTTTTCGACGTTTTGCATTCAGAATTTGGAAGGTATCAGNCCGAGCATAACGATGCGATGCGATTTTGCCAGATATTCCTTGCAAAAGACAAGCTTATGCTCAATTTGATCATTCAGATCAAATCGATCTGAATCAAGATCATACATTAATCAATAGGTAATAAATACAGTCATTTGTTATCATAACTGCAGTCGGACACAATGAAAAATGTCGTTTTCGATTACCAGTTAACATATTTGTCTCATCTGATATGTTAACACCTTATCACTGATATAAGACGGTACCATATCTTGATATTTAACTAATATCGGCTGTTTCTTGCCATTAATCTTTATTGAGTTGTCACAAATGATAATAGTGAAATGTTCATTGAAAACATCAAATCGCCTGGTAGACGAGTTAGGCATTACATAACTTCAATGTAACAAACGAACCAGACTCTTTCTGTCCACTATTTTGATGATGTAACTCATTCGGTAATGGTACATGATTCAGATGTGATACCGTGTAAAGAATGTAATTATCGTTCTTCGCTGCTTCACATCGTTGTTTCTCAGCTTCGAGATTTTTGAGCAGTTCACGTCCAAAATGTTCATAGAAACCCTCATTACCCGGATTACCTTCAAATGACTATCGTAATTCAATGGTTTAGTTTCTATTTCTCAGTTATTGTTGCACAGCAATAGCTCCCAATAAAAACTTTTCATGATTTACTAGCACTTCAGCTTATTAGAAATTTATGTGTTTGTTATGAATAGAGTGCTCGTATTTTCATGATACGAAGGATTCATTCGTGGGTGCTTTGTTGAAATTGAATCTTAGAATCAAATTTGCTATGTAAGTGAGCGGATGGAATGCAGCAATTTTTGATGTAACGGCAGCTACTTTCATTTAAAGAATTAGATGATGCTCCAGTGATACTGATGATTCTTCGATTTATGATATATCATATGCAAATGGTCANTAAAGAATTAGATGATGCTCCAGTGATACTGATGATTCTTCGATTTATGATATATCATATGCAAATGGTCAGACGTTTCGTTATGTTGATTCCAGAGCTGTTTTGCAACTTCGTAAAATAACCTCTGATATCAAATTGAGATGGAAACGTCGCAAATACGACTATCACAATGTATCAAGCAATATGATTGAATGTTGTGTTGGGAACAGCCATTCCTTTAGCATACCACTTCCTATTACCTGGTATTAGAAGTATAGCAGTCGTTCGTGTGTCACTATCGTGCTCGATCGATGCAGTTTTCGTTGCAAAACGAAACTGCTCATCAAAATGTGTACCCATTATTGAGATACGAGTCCATCGTCCCGCAACTGGAAGCCACTGAACAGATCGCCGAATTGCGACTTCCATTCTCCACTTTTGAGGAATGTTTTGCAAGTTCTTGATGAACCCAATGCGAGACAATAAATCCTTACAAAATCACATGTTTATGAAAGCAACTTCAAATGGGTTCTACTTTTTAGAGTGTGGATAGTAGCTTTTAATTTTCTGGATTTTCAAATGTATCTAAAGAGTAGCACCAAATGGCGAATCCGTATTGGCAACGAATGCTGATGTTGCAATGTATACGACTGATAACTTTAAAACGACGCTTCAGATGACGTTACTCCGTAAATATATAGTGACTGAAGAGCACCCAAAATGAATTGTTCAGTCCAGTTAAAACAAATCTGATTTATCCACAAAACAACTAAACACATCAAATGTATGCATAAGAACAACAGTACTAGACAATTAATTAAATGAATAATTAAGAATTCTGGTACCCCGAAGTGTTTCTGTTCAATTCATACAGGTTCGATCCCACAAAGTAACCCATACAACAACTCACACATACATGGACGAAAAGAGACAGGTAAAAATCAAAAGACAACAACGACAGAATAAGCTCAAAATAATCAGTGCATAATTCAAATTAAACTATCTCACGGAATATTCATACTAATAATTTACTACGAACTAAATGAACGAAACCAAGCATTTGCTA